TCCTGCTCTCAAGTCATCAGTACTTATTTAACTGAAATTAGTAACACAGGACATGATAAACAATACCAGGATATAGTTAAAGAAATTAGTAGGGCAGAGACATATGCCTAAAAGTTTGCTAGTTTTAAAGAGAACAAAAGCCCACCTCTGCAGTTACTTTCTGAATATAAAGTACAGCCTCAGCCCTGGCATTAGCAAATCGCCATTGTAAATATCTATTGTAAAGTAAGCGCAGATGATGAGCATCTTCAATGTAAATTGCACCCTTTTTCCCCTTAAAATCCACAACGAAACTAAGCACAGAAGTTGAACTGCTTGATTGACTACAACTATTGGACGACCTTGTCTTAGATGGACTAACTCCTCTAGAAGGAGGAGTAGATGGTCTTGTTCGAGATGGACTAAGGCCTCTTGTAACAGAGGATGAAAACATTGAGCTCTTACTAGGTGAGGATGGTCGCGATGCAGCAGTAGGCAAAGATTGAGATCTGACTGCAGGAGTTGTTAATGATAACCTGTCTGATAAGCTACTAAAGGCAAGCTTGTGAGGTCCAGATACATGCAGGGAATTATCATCAACTAAATTTGCTCGAAGTCCTGCTCTACCACTTTCATTAAGTGATAATAACGCGGCAGCATCACTAGAAGATTTTTGTAAAGGTTTATTACCCAAAGCATCAGACGTGGGCAATCTCCTCAGCGTAGACAACCCGACTCCCGGAACTGGTGTAGCAAGCCTGACAATCTTAGCACCAAGATCCACACTTCTATTCAAGGAATTGGAAGATACTTTCCCACCTATTCTACTTGGCCATCGATGCTGATCTATCAATCGGGAATGCAAACCATCGACTGGTTTTGAATTCTCCGATTGATCAGCAGCATTTTTCCCTTTAAGAGGGCTCCTTTTTCTCTCTGGTGTAAGCTTTCGAGGAGCAGGTGTTTCGGCCTGTCTATGTGCCACATTCGAAGATGACCTCAGAGTGCGGTCGGACAGAGCACTAGTAACTGGTTTTTCCTTCTTACTGACAGGAATTGAAATGGTATCAGACTGGAAGGAGACACTCAAACTTCTCATAGTGGAAGGCCATAAACTCTCCGGCGTCCGACCATTCCCTGTTCTTCTGGATGATAATTGCACATCTACAGAAGAATCCTGGACCGGCGTTGATGGACTTGGCGGGGAAGTGGGTGTGGAAGGACGCTTCCTATCCACAGATTGGGATCTCTTGGGCACCAATTGTGCTGATGGAGGCGATGTTCTTGTAAGGTTTGGAGATGGGCAACGTCGAGTACCAGAAGGTGTTGAGGGAGTTGGAGTGGGTGACTTATACCTGGAACTAATTTCCCTCGTACGAGGACGGCGAGTGGTGACTGCATTATTCTTTTGGGCCGGAACCAACGGTGGTCTTGGCTTCTTTAGTGCTGCTAGCTCTGATTCACGAGCATCCATCCACACCATCCAAATTAGACCACATTGATGGATTCTTTCATCTAAGCTAAATTTACATACTTGACAGCCTAGGCTTTCATTTAATCGCGCATTCAATAATCAATGGAATACCACCTGTTGCTTGAAAAGAAGATACCTTTCTCTGCAATAAATCTGCCACAAACGCACAACCAAAAGTAAGAGGCAGCTGAGAGATGGCTAAGAAAAGCATAGAATAAACCCATAAAAAAGAAAAAGGAACATTGAAAAGCATACATCTTTACAGAGACTCAGATCTAACTGAGAATGAATTTGAGAATTACAACAAACAATCTCAAAAGGGTATTGTGTTTTCATGGAAAGAAGCCCCAATCGAAGCAGATCAGGCCATGGCAATGAAATTAGGAAGGGGGTAAACAACATCTGGTGCAAATGGGGTCACAGAGAACTGCGGGAAGTGTCACAGCGTGCATAAACGGTTATGGTTAGAGGTTGGTTTTGAATAACCCACAAACTGAATGCAAGGTAGCCTGGTAGGGTAGGGTAGTGATCCCTAAGAAAATATGGGGAAGATTGGGAGAGTAGACAGTGGGGATGAGGGTATAGGATAAGAGAAAGGAAGGATGTGTGCTGGATAAAGTGTCCTTTTAATTTTCCTCTGGTCCCTCTCACGGGAGTGCCATGGTCGGTTGGGCTGGAAATGGGTCAACTCAACTCTCACAAAACCCCATTATGCACAGTTTCCTTTCTTCTCTCACAACTCTTTTTCATGAAAGGGAATTCAATGAAAGTGATCACAAAACTTGCAAAAAAACAAGCCAGGCTTTCTCTCTCTCTCCAACTTTTTCCAACCAAAAAAAAAAG